ACAAGTCGTGTCCCTTCACAGGGACACGGTGCCAGGCTTTGCTCATCCTCAGTGTCCCCCCAAAGCTACACCAGGACTGTGCTATGCCCTGGGAGGAGAGGACCCGCCCTGGAGGCCACGCTGCACATGGCACCTTAGCCTCAGCTGCTGGAGCACCTGTGCTGGTCCCATCCGTGCCCTGATGCTTCCACCGGTGGCAGCGGGGCCGGGTGCCCTGCATCAGCCAGCCCCACAAATTCAGGCGCTTATCCCTGCCACTGCACCAGCTTTTCTATTCAAACAGTTCTGGTTTTCTCACCTTCTGCCTGGGGAAGCGGTGCAGGCAAATGACCTCTAGGGTAGCTGAGGTTTTATTCTTCGTGTAGATTTCTTCCTACATTGTAGATATGCTGAACGTTACCCTTCAGTGGAACAGGCCTGCCAGCTGCCCTGGCCATCTCTCCTCTGAACCAAACTCCCTGGCTGCAGCAGAGAGGTGAGCACTTCCCTTAGCAAAGGAGAGGGGTTGTGGAGCAGATAAACTCCGTTCAGCTTCACAGCAAGAGCCCAAGTAAACATGGACAGTGCAAACCTGGCACCTTTCCTTATGTGGGGTCCCACTGCAGTTCAGTTCCAAAACTGCAGATCCTTGCTGGTGCATAAGCCATGTCCTTGAAGTCGCCTCCCAGAAACTTCCCAAGTGAGAAGGAAAGTGTGAGCTGGGCCTCAAGCAAAAGCTGATCAAGAGCTTTATCCATGCTTTACCCACAAGGACACATCAGGGCAAGACAGCTGGGTGCCTTGTCCTTCCAAAAACGATGAGCTGGCTCACTGCAAACTGTGCAACACAATCACATCGACAGCAGAAAAGATCAAGAGCCTGCACAGCAAATTGTGCTGTGTGTTACCTCATTAAAACCTCTGCTGCAAAACCTGCAGCAGTTCCTAGAGACATTAGCACTTCTTAAGCAAGCCGAGAACCTTTCTTGAGGCTGAAATTGATCTCTCCTCCAGAGATGAGCTCCTCACACCTACACCAGCTGCAGGGGAGGCTTTGGGAGGCAGAAACCGGGTCTGAAAGAACCGGGTCCAATGCAGGATGAATTTTGCAGTGTGGGCAAAATGCGCGCAGCCCCCAAACCCCTCTCAGCTCCCATGGGGGAAGTGCTGAGGAGGAAACGAAACAAGCTTTTGATATGTGCCGGCTGGCCACAGGGCAGCCTGGGGAGGCTGCATCCATTCAGCAGCCTGCAGGGCTGTGAAGTTTTCCCAGGGTCCTCTCAAGGCCCAGGGACAGCCCAGGATTGAAAGAAGAGTTCTGGGAGTGAACAGCCTGGGCTAGGAGGAAGGATGTTTCCCTTGCTGTCACACCAGGAGCGCTCAGTGACAGGAGTTTGGGGGAGGAAAAGTGAAAGGTGGGCTCAGCTCTGGTGCAATGCTTTTATAAGGCAACACAGGGACAAGTTTCCCTGGATACAGTGGGAATGAAGAGAAGGAAGCAAAATTCTTTGATCACATCTCAAAGAAAGGTTGGTGGGGTTTTTTTTTTACCCCTCCTTTTTTCTCCTCCATCAAGTCATCACTTCACCCACAAGGATGGCGTAGGCTGCCCCACAGGGCCAGCTGGTCAGCGCATCTCTTGGCTACACAATTCAGCATCTAGCTGCATCTAGGCAAATCTCTCAGCTGATCACCACCAGTCACCTCCACTGGTACTTTGTCTCCAGTGAGACCTCCTCTGGCTACAGAGCCCCACTTTATCCTCAGCCTTACACAAAGTCAGGGATTTGAATGATGGCTCCTCTCCTAAAAAGGAACCTAAGGAAGCAATCCCTTTATCCTGAGTGATACACCCTGCATAACACCCTCTTCCATGAGGTTCTGCACAATTTCCAAAGTCAATTAAGGCTGTGAATGAAGCCATTCACAGTATAATTCCAGATTAATTAGCAGCATACAGCCACATTATGAGTAACACAGCATTGTGAGGCCAGCCACTCCATCATCATCAGTTCTTCATTTCTTCCTTCATTCTTCCTTAGGGCTGGGAGAGCTGAGCAATAGAGAAACCTCTGTGGCAGAGCTCTCGGCAGTGCACATGTACATCCAGGCAGCACCGCATCCCATAGACTTCTGCTGCCTGCACACATCCTCAGCTGCCACAGGTGAGTGGAGAAGGCAGCCTGCCTTAAATGCTCCTCATACACAGCTACATGATTACCCGGTCCAAAGAGTGACCGTACTTTTACCTAATGGACTTTTAAAATGCCCTTGTCTGCACCTTTTACCTGAATTGGAAGTGCCATAGCCTAGCCCTCACCAATCTTGATGAGGGCAGCTGCCCCACTGCAGGGAGCTGGCTTGAGCAGGGATTCCAGCCCTTCTCTCACATGCCAGACCATCATCGCTTGAGGCATTTCACGTTTTTCTTCTCCTCTTGCTGCACTGCTGCTCAGCTGTTTGTTTTGCTCGGCCATGTTGGCTCAAAATGGTAGTGAGGATGGGAGAGTCACAAATCTAGGATTGGAGCAGTTTGGGTTTTTTTAACTCCTTTTCCTTCTGCTTTTGCTCCCACTGCTGGAGCATCAGGTGAAGGAAAAACTAGGTCCAGTCAGCAGTTATCTACTAGTATTAGCTATCTGTCCTGGAACTTGGAATATCTCTGGCTGTGCTTGGAAACAAGGTTCAAAAGGACAAGCCTCCAGCAAAGTTTGCATGTGGGCTCTTCAGGGAAAGCAACACAGCTGGGATCCCGCCAGCAGGGTTGGGACAAAGCCTCTCCATACCAGTCTGAGCAGCTTTCAGAACTGGGCTGGGCTTCCAGACAAGCCCTGTAGCCATCCAGGATGGGTGACCCACACCACCTCCAGTGCTTCCTGCCCTCACCAAGCACACTAAGCAGGCTGTGCATCTGCACAGAGGGATGCTCCTGGACAGCCACAAGCCAAAAAGTAATGTTTTAAATGCCCCTAGGGCCTGTTGCTTGCTGGTCTCCGGTTGGGTGGCAGCAGCCTGCATTTTAGTTTCAGATCACTCAAAGCTGCTCTGAGGCCTGGGTGATTATATTTAATGATCTAGTTTACAGATCCTTCATGCCAGCACAATGGTCCCGTGCAGGGACAGGAATGTCTGAAATCAATTTTACCGTTGGCTCTTGCATCTTTTGAAACTCTATATGCTTCCTCTCATTCAGGCCCTTATGATGGAATCAGCTCCAAGGCTGGATCTTGCAGGGAACCAACAGAGCTCCAGCACCAACTTCCAGGAACAACTCTCTTGCAGGGCCTATCTCCTGACCACTCTTGATTATTACAGCATTTGTAACCACTCACCTACTCAGACCATCCCTGACATCACAGGGAAACCTGTGTGAAGCATTTAGGAGCTCTGGAGATCCACAGAAGAACAACTAGCCTGGAGCCACGAGAACTTGCTAGCTCAGCGTTACACTCTGCAAAGTGGAAAAATCTGTGGAAACTAATTTTGGCCGTTCCATGGGGATGCACAAAGAGATGGAAAATTGAAGGAAAGTACTGTGCCAGTGGAAAAAAAAGACACAAGTCTCTTTCCATCTTGCACAGGACAGAGCTGTATCCAAGCTGCGCATCAGCTCACACACAGCAATGCAAAGGGCACAGAGAGCAGCCCAAGCTATAAAGGGTCAGCACACCAGTGCCATGGCAGTGCTGTTCTGTATCACAGCAGTGCCTGGCCAGCCAGTCTTGTTTCAGGGTGATCCTATGATAGGAAAGCAATTTTAATGTAATTTAAAGTGCATGCTGTTCACAAAGATACCCTATGTGATTCTGCAAAACGCTCTGGAAAAGTATCGAAGTATCCAAACCAGTGAACTCCCAAACAAGAGCAACCCCCAGTCCTGTCTGATATCAGCACAGCAGTGCCCGTATTCCAGGCACCACAGACACATCCCTTCATGCATTAATCCCAGTCCAGGCTTTCAAAAGCTGTAGCCTGTGTAACACAGCATCAAAAGTTGTTCATGCTCCCACTGACCCCTTAACGTGATCAGACACTCGCACAGCAGCATATGGCAATTCTTCATACTTCCTCCTTCTGCACATCCCTGCACCCCCCCTTTTTCTTTTTTTTTAACTTCTACCTACACTGAAGTTTCTTAATGAGAAGACTTGTTCTGCTTTCAACATTTGCTTAGACAGAAATCCCACCCTTAGGGTAGACGCATGTGCTCTCCTGAGAAGGGATTTAACTCCAAGCTGCACCCTCCCTGATCCTTGTTTGCCAGCACTGGCCTTGGCAGCAGCACTTGTGGGCTACACATAGCCCCTCAGGGTGAACACCAGCAATTCCTGGTCTGACCCAGCCCCAACCGCAACTTCTAAATCAGAAGCAGGTTTATACTCTGCCAACCCGGGATGCCAGGGATGAGGGTACAGTTATCAGGTGTTGGTGTCACACTAGCTTTTTATGCCATGGCTGTAGCATCAGAACACAGGAGTACCTTGGGACAGCTTAAGTGGCCACAAACCAAGAGAGGAAGACAGCCACAACTACCTTACTCAATTTCTAACAAAAATGTAACAAAAAGTAGGTTTCCTGGGAACAAGATGGAAGATGGAACATATCTATCACCTCCTCCACTAACCTTACCTTCCAGTGACTCCAGAGACTGAAAATAAAAGCAAAGAGAGTCTGTTTGCACAGTTGTTAGTTACAAATTTAAAAATACCATCTTCAGGCCAAGAACAGAACTAGCTTGGCTCAAATTTCCAGCCTGACGTTTTGACCAGGTAACACTCTGAAAGCACACAAACAAGGTACATTATCTTCCTCCACCATCCCCAGTGTTGGCCATGGCCAGCCAACATGGTGATGCACCAAGGGTACTGCACCACCACTCCAGAAAGCCACCCCACAGCAGGGGGTCTGCAGCGCTGCTGACAGGGATGGCTGATGCTCTGACACCACAGCGGCTACCTCTAGAGAAGACACGTACGGTCTGCACTGCACCGAGAGAAGGAGGGAATGGCAACAGACACACATGGACTGCAGCACATGGATAACCTTTATTGGTAACATCAGTGGAGCACCAGTAAACCGACTGTAGTGGTGACACACAGCTGAGGCATATGCTAAGGCACTTTTATTATATAAAAAAAATTATTTTTTTTTGTGACAGCAATTGGGACACGAGGCTCCTGCATTTAGAGTGCTTCAGGCATACAGTATGGTGCTTCATATTTAATTATTTTTACTTCGCTCATAAGTAGGTCTAAATGCAGCATATACAATATGGTTAAGAATACAGGTAAATCCAGCAACCAGTGTATGGTGTAGAAAAGTAAAGACTATCTATATATAACCATGGTCCCAATAGAAAGGCAGTGATAAAGACCTTTATTTTTTTTTTAATTACTTATTACGAGAGATACAAAGGCCTTACATATATCTGTGCAGATTAAAGGGTTTTTGATATACTCTTAGTCAATGGTGCACAATAACTAATCCCAACCCCTGGTTACAGAGCAGGTGCAAGAGGCTTGGACATGTCAATAAAAGAGGGATTTCCCTTCCATTATCCCCCCCACCCCCTGCCCATTACCCTATTAAATTCCCCTAAATTCTGTCTATTACCATTAAATATATTTGGTCCCCCAGAGATTCTCAGACAAGCACAAGGACATTGCTCTGCTTCCCCAGCCTGTCATTAACATCCACACTACCTTAGATGAAACCACTCAGAGGCAGAGACCTAACAGGACATCATTGCACTTCAGAGATCTGTCCAGACAGTAAGAATAAGAGGAAAAAAAAAAAGAAAAAAAGACAACTTTGGCAAGTCCTCCAGGTAACTGTTCCCAAGAGGAGCTTCCCACTTCACCCCTCCCTGGAAACATGCAAAAGAAGAAAGGGCAATTGCCAGGGCCAAAGCACACCGTTTTTCCTGAAACTGCTCCCAAACCTTGTGGGTGGGCAGATTGAAAGAGGCAAAAGTCTGAGGTCACTGAACATGATTGCCAAAAGCAAACAAAGAGAGAGGGGAAAGAATACAGGAAGGAGCTTCCCTGCAGCTAGAACTGAAGACAAAAGGAGATTTACAGAGAAAACAGTCTTTCCCTAACCCCACTCCCTCCAAACTGTGTAAGGATTCACCAGCAGACATGGCACAGACAGTTCTACAGGCCTTTGTAATGGCCAAACTGCTGGTCAGATTTCAGAGCCCCGACTCTTTGGCATTAAATACAAAGAGGGTTAGGAAACTGGAAAGAGGAGGAAACTAGAAACACAGATGCCCAATGGCTCCAGATACACAGAGCTGGGCTTGCTCTGCTGATCCCCAGCCAATTTAGGAGGAGAGGGTTTGCTGCAAGTCCAGTGGAAGAGGGGAGGTGGATGGGTCACTCCATCACATGTAACCTGGGCCAAATGGGAGGACTTATTCAGTAGCTTTGGCATCACCAGCATCTGCCTTGCCGTCCACTTCCTCATCAGAGCACTCTCCTGTACCCTTCCTGACCATTCGACGTGTCACAACAAACGGCAGGTCCCCGCGCCTAGGGAAGGACAGACAGTATGTCAGCAACACAAGGTTTCACTGAACTCGGACAGGGCAGGCTCTGGAAAGAAGTAGGGAAGTACCTGGCCACACTGCTTGCTGTGGGAAGTTGCTGCTGAGGGCAGTTACAGCAAGACTATGCTAGACTGGCTGCCAAGGTATTGCACAAAATGCTCCCTTACCTGAGTTTGCTCTTCAGAGAGCTGACTTCTCTATTCATTGCATCAGCTGTCTCAGTGGCATCCTCCAGCTCACGCTGGAGCTTCCTACGGCACGCGTTGGCTCGCTGGGCCTCCTCTTCTGCTTCCTCAAGCTGGCGTTTCAGCTGCTTCAAGCGCATGTTTGCCTTGTCCGCCTGAGCGTGGAAGGGAGTGAAGAAGAGATCGACATTGCCCCAGAAATACAGCACAGTAGTTAGCATAGCAAAAAGCAGAGTTTCTGAAGCCCCCTCTTCCCTTTCTGAAGGGAGATGTCTAGGGCTTGACAGCGCCAGTCTTTTACTTAAAAGCATTACATTTTCACCTGTGTCATCTTATGATTATTACATGAGGGAAAAGAAGAGATATCCATAGGAAGGCAATGCTAGAGCCCTCTTACATGCAAATGATGCCTTTATCCATAGAAAGAAAATCCTCCCACCAGAAAGCTCACCAATGCTCCAGGTAACGATACACACCTGATCTTTGAACTGCTCAGCATTACGCCTCTCATCATCCACCTGCAGCAAGATGTCTTTCAGCTTCTTCTCAGCGCGGCGCACCTGCTTGCTGGCAGCCTGGCGCTCCCTACACAGAAATACAGTGAAGCTCAGACAAGAATTTATCTCCCATTGTCCCCAATAAGATGATATGACTTGGGAAAGTTAGAAATAAGGAAGAGAGCAAAAGTCCTCCTAACTCAGAAAAAAAGGGGATGGGAGGCACTGTTTCCCAGAAATGACCAAAAGGCACTGATATCACACAGATATGACCTGTCTTGAAGCTACAGAGTGGCAGCAAGTGTATTACAGCTGCAGTTTTAGGAACGGTTATGTCTGGAAGAAGCTAGAAGTTGCTGCAGTAGAAAACAAGAAAGGTTTACCAAGATCTTACTTCTGTACTACCTAGTACACATAGCATGAAGCCCTCACTTGGACAAATCAGAATTTGTTCAGAAGAGCTTAAAATGCCAGAGTGGGTGGAGGCTTGTAAAACAGAAGGAGCTTCTCCTAGGACATACTTTGTCTCCATGTCCAACTGCTCTTCCAGCTGCGCTATCTTTGCTTCCAAGGCTGTGATGGTAGCCTTGTACTTGGACTTCACTGCACTCTCCATCTCCTGCAGTTTAAGCTTCAGCTCCTTGTTCTGGCGCTCCATCTGCTGGCGAGCGTTCTCATTCTTCTGTGCGTTGCTGCGCTCAGCATTCAGGTCGGCATTCATCTGATCAATCTGCAGAGAGAAGTACTCAGCATATCGAGTGCTCCAGCCTGAAAGGCCTATTTATTCCTCAGAGGCACAAAGAGGAAGGACCCTCAGGGTGAGCTGAATACCTGGAATAACTCTGATGCAGAGGGAGCTGGATATAGGCAGGGCACTTCTCAAAGTATCTTAGTTTACCCAGATTTTCAAAGTAATTCCTTGAATAACAGACTTATCAACTGCCTCTTGGGGCTAAATTTGACAATCATGTACAATGCTCTCTGGGGTGAAGGCCACGGTTTGGCACTTAACTCAGTAATTATCAGTCTCAGTGAATTACAAAAATCCTGAGGCAAGTGGATCCAATATGTGTGCTTTACTGATTTATTGCTTTTTTGCTGTCTACTTCCACTACAAAGAAGCAGCCTAAAAATACTGACTTTCAAAGATGAAAGGGCAAGAACTCAGTCCACTTCCAAGCCAGGGACAGTCAACCAAGTAGAGACTATGCTCTCAGCCATCAGAGTGAACAAGCCATTTGGAAAAGCACCAGTCTAGCTCCTTGGCTTTGGAGAGCTAAAAAACCCAACAAGCCTGTCTCTCAAAGTCAGGCAGATAAAATACTGCAGAAAACAGGCAGATTAAGACCGTGGTTTCTATAGCAGCCTAACAAATTCCATATGGTTAGTCCATTTGAAGAAGCATAGAACCAGCAGAAACATCATTTTCCAAACATTGTGGCACTGTTCACCATGCCAAGTTGGAGCAGCATGCTAAAGATCATCTTTCTCAATCCTTTAAAAACAGGAAAAAAAACCCTCTCTCAGTCCCTTTTTTATAAGCTTCAGAGACTGTTCCATGTACCCAATGATTTAAATGATCAAAACTAGTGAGTTAACATGAGTCCAAGTGACTGCCCACCCTATTTTCCTCTAGTGTGGTATTCAGGTGTTTCATCTTGCTCACATCTATGGACTTTTGAGGGACTGTACTGTACACAAAGCAGCAGCTGGCATTACTCAGAGCGCAGTTTGACAATTTACAGACTAGAGAGCCCCTACAGGCACATGCAGCCTGAATAAGTACCTGAAGATTTGCTTTCTTGAGCCGATCATTGATTATCTCTGTGTTGCCCTGTTCTTCTTCTAACTCCTCCTCCAGCTGAGCTATCCGGGCCTCCAGGCGTCTCTTTTCCTCCATGGCCAATGCCCTATAGGACACAGAAGTATTAAAGTAACATTGGCACCATTAATGCTTTGGGGAAAGCTCACTACTTCTAATTTTACAAAATAAGCTCAGTTTTTCAAGAGCAGAGAGGATAGAGCACATGCTGCAGTTTACTAAGAACAACAACCTGCAAAGTATTTTCTCAAACCAGCTCCTCCACCCTTAAACAGGGAACATTACTCACCCTTTACCACTGTTGTTGGCTATCTCATCAGCCAGCTCATCTCTTTCTTGCTGGGCCTGGCGCTTGGCACGTTCAGCGGCTGCAAGTTCCTGGAATGAAAATGAGACAGTCAGTGATTCAGTGAGAAGCTACCAATTAATGCAACATAGAAAAAAGTAGTTACTGGTAATGGGTGATATGGTCTCTAGCTAGATACAGACAATTGTAAGTCATGGTCTGTTCCCCTCCCACCCCAGTTTCCTTTGTTTTGCACAGTCCTGTCACATCTGTCAAGAAAGGGCTAAATTCTGCATTTTGAGTGGACTTTGTATTTGAGCAGAGCAAAAAGTACAAAGGAAAGGAAATAACCACTCCAGCTTACACTGCAACACTTGGTTCTTAGCCAAAGAAAATGAACAAGCCCTTGACTTGCAAGCATATTCCATTACCTCCTGCAACTGGATCATCTCTGCCTCCATGCTCTTCAACTTCTTCTCATTTTCTTTGGCCTGTGCCAAGATCTCTTCTCTGGAAGTACGTGTGTCTTCCAGTTCCCGCATGTAATCCTTCATTTGTGCCTGAAAAGGGAGAACAAAAAAGGATTAATTTCAGAGCATCCAAACTGGGTTTGTTTATCTTACAGGAAGTATGGAGAGGGAAAATGCAACAGGGATTCATTAATCTTCAGCTATCAAAAAGGTTGCTGTAGAAAGAAAAGGAACCATCCTTTTCCCATTTCACAAGTAACAAAGAGAAAGCGTAATGGAAGCAAACAGGAACAATTAAATTTCAGGCAAAAAGAAAATCTTGTCAGGGAGAAGGGAGGGTCCAGGGAGCTTTCCAGTGAAGCAGTGGAATGGATAACCTAGGGAGAATCTGGAGTTTTACCTAAGATCAGACAAAATATCTGTAGGAATTACAAAGGCGTAACAGACCTGTCTTGGGGCAGGAGAAGGCCTAAGTGGTGTTTAAGTCCCTCTAGCTTTACAGCTCCATAATCCTTTCCAAAACCACCGACCCGAGGCAAGCACTAGAGTTGACTTTCCCTACAGCTTATCTCCCAGCGAGTTAAACAGGCAGATGGGGGTAGAAAGGTATTTGAAATGCCAAGAAATCTTTCACAGTAAAATGCTTCAAGGTTCTCCTGCTCTTGTGACACTGATGCATGGTTCTCATGAGGTGAAATCTTGTATCCCATTTTGCTGGGTAAATGCTCTACACTGACAGCCAAAACAGTTGCAGCATCTCACCTGCAGTTTGCGGAGCTGCTTGATGGCTTCGTCACGATTCTTGTTAGCAGTATCTATATGGCTTTCCAAATCCTTCAGGTCCATCTCTAGCTTCTTCCTGGCAGCCACAGCCATAGAGCGCTGTTTTCGTTCATCTTCCAATTCCACTTCCATCTCCCGCACCTGTATGGAGAAATACAGACATCCGCATTTCAGCTCTCTGGTTTCCCAACAGCCAGTTTTCACACCCCTCTTTCAAACTATACATAAATGCAAGCATGTGACTTGTTTTCATTCTTCTTGGTGGGGGACAGGGCTAACATTCCTCACTAATAAGGCTACACAGGTTCCTTTGATAGACAAAGGCTGTTTGAACAATCATGCACACAAGGGGGGAAGTCTCTCACAGCTTTGCAGCGCTGCCTGGAGAGTTACCATTAACAAGAATCTGTGGATTGGCACTACCTGTCTAACCATCTTTGGACACAAGTGCCTTTGTGCCAGAACACTTTCAGGATTTACAGAGCAGTTCTTACTTGTCTAATCAGCTGTTTTTTCTTCTCTTCATTCTGTTCATCACGTCCCTGGAGGTCCCGGTCAAACTGTGCCTTCATGGCCTGTTGGTTCACTTCTAGCCGCAGTTTGGCATCCTCTGTGGCCTGCAGTTCATCCTCCAATTCTTCTAGCTGTGTCTTCATCTCCTCCACCTGCTGCTCCAGGGCTCGCTTAGCCTTCTCCAGCTCATGGACCTACAGCACAGTACCACACATGAAGTTTCCTCAAAGACTTCAGACAATTTCACCTAAGAACAAAAACGTCTAAGAACAGCCACTCACATAAGATGGAGTACAAGAACACTGCATCTGTCCCCTGTATTAGGGCAGAGATACCCCTCAAAGTCAGCTGCTCACATACCTGCAAGCTGCTGCTATGAATCACAATTACCTATTAGTTCTGATCATCTGTGTGTGGTGGTGAGGAGAAAGAGAAAAGCATTTGTTAGCCCGGTCCTGGCCTACTGCAGACTTACCAGAGCTGGACACCTCTGGTTCTGACAAAATTCAAGAAAATACATTTAGCCTCTGAATTTTTTCATTTCCTTCCTGCTTATCCTAAAATTCTTTGTCTTGAAATATTGGGGTTACTGTCTTCCATTGTCTGGCTAATGCCTGTATTTTACATATCAAGCTCACATCATAGGTTCATCTCTGTCACAACACCACCAGTTAACTTTCAGTTTGCCCATACTTTGTTTAGATCATTTCCAGGCTTTTCCAACCCATCTTTCCTGCTTACTAATGTAATACAAACATAACATTCACAAACTCACAATGTGTCCAGTATCATCTACTACATTTCTGTGTTCACAGTAGCATAAGCTTTTTGCAGTATTAAAAAACCAGTATCACCTGGGTGACATTTCTTGCCTAGGTATTTTAACTTCATGCTTACACTTTTCCCAACATCATCCTTGGAACTCATCAGGTCTTCCATCTCTGCACGGAACTGCTTGTTGATTCGTTCCAGCTCAGCTTTCTGCTCTATGGCTTCTTCCAGGGCTCTGGCCAGGGAGAGGGCCTTAGTCTCCTTCTCACGGGCTTCTGCCTCAGCACGGTCCCGTTCTTCTGCATACTTGGCAGAGATGTTCTTCTCCTCGGCCAAAAGCTACAAGAGCAGAGCAAGAGTATTCTGAGAAATTACTGACAATTTTCTAACAAGGTAAACATGCATCTGTTCATTACTGCCTTCTTAACAGTGTTCTGCCATGGATAGAAGGAACCAAGAAAATGCAGCTTCAAAAAATGAAGCATGCCATCCCATCTTTAATAACTGCTGATGTCAAATGAACAAATGTCTGATTCCCTAGACCTCCAGCCTATTACTTCTAACTTTCTCTCAAAGATGGTCTGCAAACAATGCTTTGAACTTGATCATGGTTTTGATATAAATGTTCTCTGTGGGAAAAAGAGCATCACTAAACTTCTTATGCATGGAACAGAATTAATTTACTTCTCTGAAAGCTTATTTATCCACTCTATATGCTATGCCTTGGAAATAAATATACCTTCTCCAAGCAGCATTGCTTGGTATTCTTAAAGCAAACCTATTAACAAGGCCAGGTTGGATGGGGCTTTGAGCAACCTGGTCTAGTGGAAGGTGTCCCTGACCATGGCAGGAGGGTTGGAACTTTAAGGTCCCTTCCAACCCGAACCATTCTGTGATTCTATAATAAAATGCACCTACTGAATGCCCAGTGACTGAAGTCATACCTGATCAAACTTCTTCTGTTTCTTCTCTAGGTTGGAAACAATCTGCCGCTGATGATCCAGGTCCACAGTGAGGTCATCCAGCTCTTGCTGCAGGCGGGTCTTTGTTTTTTCCAGTTTGTCATATGCAGCTGTCTTCTCTTCAAAACGCTGGTTCAAGCTCTCCAAGTCCTTCTGCAGCTTCTTCCTGGCTTCCTCTGCCGACTCAAGGCAGCCCAGACCATCATCCATCTTCTTCTTTGCATCTGTTGCCTTAAGGAGGGAAAAGATTGCATGTGAAGCCAAGCCACAGATAATGCTATACGTAGTTTACCAGCACCAGAAGTTGAGGAAATAAGTCTGCTCATTTCTGAAGATATACTGCCCCCTCAAATAATAATATATGACTGAATTCCCTAAGGAATTCCTGGATAGAAATCTACAAGCAATTCATATGATTATCATCAGATACCTCTTCATTTTGTCTCTCACCAAATCAGCAGGATCACCCTTTCCCAGAAAGATTCTGTTATTAGAAGTCAATTCTGCATTTAGATTTTATTCCCCTCAAAACAGACCTGCACTTATGCTTCCTCTCTAAAGTAATTGGTTTATAGGATGCAGACTCTGTACCTGTTGCTGAAGAATAGAGATCTGTTTCTCCAGGTTTCTCTTTGTCTCCTCCTCTTCTTCTAGTTGCTCTTTGAAACTGTTCTTCTCATCCTCCATTTGCTTCAGCTTAGTGCTGAGGCTTAGTTTTAGGCGAGTCTCCTCCTGCAGCAGCTCCTATAAAGCAAATACCTCAGCGGAATTCAGCACTGTTCCTTGGCTTTATAGGCTCACAATCCTCACCCACTCTCTCCAGAATGAGTACTTTAGAAGTTGAGTTTAAGTATGCAACTTATTTCACAGATAAGATAAACAAAGACAGAATCTAAATAATTGTCTTCCAGTGAGTCAGTATAGAACAAAATATTCAGAAGGATCCTATTCTCTCATACACTCTAATGATTAAAGTATGCTACTTCACTACACAAGCCATCCACAGTCCTTTCTGGAGTCCTCCAAGTAGCACACAAAGCATTAAAACCTTTTCCAACAACAACATGATTGTGCTCTGCTATGTGACTTTCTCATATTCAGGTATCGAAGAAACAGACAACAGGCTAAAAGGACTTACTATGGTTAAAAACAACATTGGTCTTAACAGAATTGTAAAACACTGGTCTTTTACCAACAAAATTTATTGACTTATGCTGCCAGTGCTTGAGCTGAAGGATCTGTAGAGATTAGTAAGATCAGTCTTCAAACTAGTGCATAGGGGTTTTTTTATTGTTCACTATCTTTTTAAAAAATTAATAAGTAGACAGAACATCAAGGACTGTTCAAGGTTACTTAGTATCTGAGGTTTGACATGTTCTTCCTTTCCCTTCCAGCCTTTTGCTTAGTACTCCATATTTTATCGAAAGAGTCACATTCTATCAACTGTAAATAGTTGTTTTATCTCAAAGTATAAGACTAAGCATGATTTTTTCCTAAAAAAATACCAAATTATTTGAATTTATCACTTTCCCAACATCCACTGGGAATTAAATTTTTTTGTTTAACTTTACAAACTCACCAGATATCAGACACAAAAACCCTGTCAAATACTATGAAGACCTAGCATTCCAGTGCAGTTCTAGGATTAAAGAGCTCTCAAGCAGAAAGGTGACAGAGGAAGATTCTAAATGTAAGACAGGGAAAGTTACATATGTTCCACATGCTGAGGAAGCAGAAGGAAGATAAACAGCTTGTTTCTGCAGAAGTGCTCTCAATACCATGCAATATAACACCTTAGCAAAAACCAGCCAGACTCAATCCTTTGAAGTGTTGTATATCCAGTATTTAATGATGTCCAGAGTGATTTCTCACTTTAAGAATTTGTAACTGACACTGGCTGCACCACATACAGATGCCTTGGCTTCCAAAGCTCTCACCTGTGTATCCTGAAGCTGTGATTCCAGAGCAGAGAAGTCCTTTGCTAATTTGATTGATTTGCTGTCAGACTGGTTCAAAAGACCTGTGACATTGTCCAGCTCAACCTGAAGGAGAGATCAGAGTACCAGTTACTAAATGCATCAGCAAAAACAAAGCCAGGAACAGGTGAGCAACCCAAAAGTGAAAACTGAGGCACCTCTCAACAGTGAGGCATGTGTGTAGTCTCTCGGGAATGAATGCGTAATTTCCAAAGTCCAGGGGATGAAATATGAGAAGTCAAAAAGAGATTTTTACCCGGGATCACCTCTGTTGCAACAGTCTTCTGGTTTTGGTTGTTTTGGTTTTTTTAAGGCATATATGAGATTTTAGACAGCTGGCAAGAATTTTTAAAACTTCTATTAAACTAACTCTCTTCAATTTTATACTGCTTCAGGACTATATCCAGAGTCTCAAAATTACATTTTCACACTCCAAAAGATAGTGCACATACCCGCAGTGCTCAACTTTTAATGACAGCCCTCCATAAAGGAGAAGGCAGAAGACAATGCTCTGTCGTCTCCTTGAAGAAAGGAGGAGAAAACCCAAAATTTCAACATCACCCTTAAGTTACCCCTCATCGCCATCAGCCAGATTAAAAAGCTTCAAGATACTGTCTCCCAAATTAGTTACACAATCATCAGCCTGTCAGTGCCACTCTAGGTCCACAAGCAGCTGCATATTTACACAACGGTACTGTACGAACTGCTTCATGTTGAAGGGGAGCAGATACGCTAATACTTTAAGGCTTACAAAATTCATATGGCAACTTCACGTTCTCAGGCTCCTCATAACTGACATCAGTCCAAATGTCCTGCCCTGACAAGGAGTTAAGGAGTTTGCATACTCATCGGGAAGCAAACTAGAGATCTGCTTTTTGTAGGAACTTTATCCTCAGGAGGAAGAAGATTTTTGAACTAGCTATGTGGAGGTATCATCCTATAACCTTTTCTCTCTAGCCCTGGGCTGCATCAGAAGCTAAAGAAAACCCATGCCACTCACCTGCAATTTGTTAACCCTCTCAGCCAGTTCCGTCTTTACTCTTTCACCTTCCGTAAATTTCACCTGCAGTTCTTGGAGCTGAGCATCTACCTTTTTCCGTTTGTGCTCTGCATCCCCTTTGCCCTGCAGAAGAACCTTCACCTCATTGGACAGTTCAGCCCTCTCACTTTCCAGAGCTTGTTTTGCTTTTTCAAGATTTGCTTTCACCTGAAGAGGGGAAAAAAAACACAGCAAAACCCCTTAGACTTTAGATAAGGCAGGATCCTTCCACTGAGTACATTTATTTCCAAAAAGCAAGCTAATGTTGCATGTTTAGCAGTTAAGTGGTAGACTGTTTATTCAGAAAAAAAACAATTTGAACAGCCTGTTACTGATAAGCAGGAGACAACTGAACAGAGAAGAAAACAATACAGGAGATAGTTGCATTCATTCTTTTTTTCCCCATCAGGCACATTAGACTGCATAGCCAAGACATTCTTTTCACTTCTAGCACTTGTTGACTGTACAATCTTTAATTTGAAATCTGATGGTGCAAGACTATTTAAAACAACTTCCTACATGCTTTATAATGAAAACTGATCTACCAAGGGAAGAAGAGCACATGTATCAGAAGCCTTGTATTATGAACACTTCATGTTTTTCTGCAGCTTTAATACAGTCATAAAGCAGCCACCATTTCAGGGAGATTGACTGCTTTGACCTTGTGTTTTCTGTTCCACATACCCGTTTGGTTTGTTCTAACTGCTCTGCCAGCTCTTCAATAGCCTGTGAATGTTTTTGCCTCATCTCTTGGATTTGAGCCTCATGAGTCTTTGCTTCATCTTCAAGGGTCTTCTTCAAAACTGTTACTTCTTGTTCTCTCTTTGACCTGCAAAATTCACAAATTCCATTTAGATGCCAAGAAAACAAATCAAACAGGTGTGTATATCCACCAACACCATCACTAATGCAGAAAAATGCCAAGGTTAGCCCTACAAGCTATAAAGACACCTTTCCAAGTTAGAACTTAGCATTGCACCCTTCTTAGGTGCAAACTAGTAGCATTACTTTCAGGCTAAGTAGTAATAGTCCGAAAGTATGAATGTTTCAGGGTTATCACTAACACTATGGTTAGGGAGCAAATTAACTTTCCTACATCAGGTGAGATAATGCAGTCTTGACTACTGCATGTATATTACCTGCTTCTGTAGTCACTGAGGCTGCTAACCAGCCTACCCTGATAAAGGCAAAGACTTGCCACAAGCAGTCTCTTACCAAAGCAACATATATTAAAGAAGTCAAAACGAAAAACCAAGTAAGACAAGTTGGAGTTACCTGAGCTCTTGCTGAGCAGCTGTAGAATCTAGAGTATCTTCTAGCTCTGTTTTCAATGCTTCCAGCTCTTCTCCCAGATCCCGCTTCTGTTTTTCAGCTTTATTCCTGAATGATCTCTCTGACTCCAGGTCTTCCTGCAGCTCAGTGATCTGGGATTCGAGTTCCCTGATCTTTTTCAGGGCCATGTTCTTCTGAGCTGCCTCTTCTTCCACCCTGTGTTCAACATAGGGTTTTGGTCAGAGCCAGATTTAAACCACATGTAAACTGAAACCACCTGTCCTATCAAGAATAATCAAGAAAAAAGCTGGTATTGGTCAGCTCTACAATATTACATTTAAAGTTTGATCCATATATCATGTACAAATTCTATTTCCTAGTACTTGAGAGAGGATGATTAAAAGAAGAGGACAGCAAGAGACTGACAACAAAATAAAGCAGAAGAGAAAGCACCATTTTACAGTGGAAATTGGACACTTTACTGAATAGATGAACATAGCAGCTACTAGACAACATGTTGCCACTACTTTTTAACCCCTTCTGAAATCACACTGCTCCAGTGAAAAATGTGCTGTGCACAGTACATTCATAGTCTAGCTCTGTACAGAGAATGGCAATGAGCAGCAGTCAAAGAAATCTGATGCCAAGGACGTGGATCTTAACAATCCACAGGCTGAAATACAACACATGGCCACAGATTCCATTTAGTCCCTATTCCAAAGTGACACAAGACAAGAAATACTTCCCCCAGCCTGTGGTCTCCAAATCCCACAGGTCAGATTCTCACCTAGCTAAGGCTGCCTGCAGCTCCTCTTCCTTCTTGGCCAGCTGCATTTTGAGTTCTGCAATCTGAGCCTGCAGCTCAGCAATCTGGTCATGCAGATCACTGGAGTCCCCTTCAAGCTTTCGACGAGTCTTTTCCAATTCTTGTCTCTGCTTTTCTTCACGTCGCAGACGTTCTGATGGAGATTGGGATGCATTAAGTTACACAAAGGACATGTGCTCAAAGAACATTGTATCAGCAGAGAAAATAAAGCTAAACAATACTTTCTTTCCTAATAATACAATTGTCCAAACTGGAGCTGGAGCGCATTATTCTGTCAGGACCTATACATGCAATTGCCCCTGTGTTTTGCCCTCAAAACATGACAACAATTTTCCTTTCATCTTACAGCCAAACCTCCTTCCCTCCTTTCACTGCAGTAAATTATGCCAACACAATGCCAGTCTCTCCCAACACCCACACCGCCCAGCATCAGCATCACTTAATGAGTGCTTAACACAAAGTCTGCTCTCCCTTTACTGAAACTAAATTGGCTGGCTCCTGCTGTGTTAACCTGGGCAGTCTCCAGATGAAGAGCCTCTACCTTGAACTCCGAAGAACTTGTGCAATCAGTATACCAGAAACAGCACTAACCCTGACAGATTGATGCTGCTGAAAGTAGAGAAGTGGAGACACTTCCACGGGAGGAGAAGAAAGAAAACCAGCCTCTCTTCTCCATTGGCCTGCTACTTTGGAGAGGATTTTATTTAGATCAAGGGCTCAGCTGACAGGGCACATAACCTTCAACCAGACATTGAACAGCTCTATCAAACTGATCAATAGCATACACATTACAGACTAGTTTTTAACCCCTCAAACTGCAGCAGACTAGAAATGAAACTGAAGTTCAACAAATTTTTACAAGAAACTACCTAAAGCTAAACAGGTAAGTCCTCTGCAAGATCTGCCTTTAAAAAAAAAAACAAACCAAAAACCCACAAACAAAACCAAAACCACCTTCAAGGTCTGTGATCATGGCCTCATGCTTATTCTTGAGTTTGGCCAAACTCTTAGATTTTTCCTCTTCCTCTGTCAGGTTTGTTGTAAATTCAGACATTCTGTCTTCCAACAGTTTCTTCTCCTGCAGAATTGAGAAGGCAGTATGAAAGCAGTTACTGGAATTACAGGAGATGTTTCCAGAGCTGACGGTGCTTAAAGATGTCAGTGTCATGAGTGCCTACTCCTGCTATAAGGAAACTTGCAATGAAAGGTATCCTTTCATGATTATAGGTAGTGTTCAATTAAATAGTTAAAGATCTGTATTTGATGGCCCTTCCAAAGGTGAAAGAGAAGTCTGTTTATGGAATATACTGCTATGCCAAACAGTATCAAGTCATCAGAAAATGTTTGCTCATAGATTGTTATTTAGTCAAGGCTATTTAAGTATCATAAAATACTGACTTGTAAACAATACAGGCAGGCAGCTAATTAAAAAAATTCAGGTAAGACTTGTCAAAGACAAGACTGAATTAATTCATACATTTCCCCATAATATGGGAAAGGTCAGCCTTTGGTGAGTGGCTCCAAGAGAAACACCTGTGCATATTTATCTTGTATAAGAAGCTGCAGGAGTCTTACCTTAGCCAGTTTGAGATTCTGATCTTCCAGAACTATCACATCTTCTTCCAGTTTCTTCAATTTGGCCTCTGTAGTTACTTTTTCTAGTTGCAACTTCTGCCTTGCACTTTCCTCTTCTTCAAGCTGCTCTTCTAGTTCCTTCAAAACACCAACAGAAAAGCAAGGCATTTGTCAGTGCTGCTCACTGATCAATGTAACAGCACAGTAACAATACTAGAACTTGGAATGTTTCTTTACCGTTCTTTCAAGACATTATTAGTACTTTCCAGAAGTGATATCTCTATCATGACTTAGTGCAACACACTGCATTCTAACAGACAAGTTTTCTAGCAGAATAAACAATGCTATTTTGCAAAGAAAAATGCTGCCATTCCTAAAACACCTGGTTTAAGCAAAGACTTGTCTAATTATTTAACAAGTGGCCATCATCTTAATCTTCAAGAACAAAACAGCTCATGACAGATGACTGACTGAACCCCTCAGGCTCAGCACCAGTATCACTGTGATCGCTGTGTTCTATTGCAATTTCCACAGACAGATTTTTCTGTGCCTTTTTTTTTTTTTATTGTTCTTTTTCCTGTTTCCCTCCAAGCTGTGACAAAAGAACCACTCTAACCCTTACTATCTTCTTTACTGACAAGAGGCAACGTTCTTAAGGCATTACCTGGATGTTCTGCTGCATTTTCTTCTTTTCAGCCTGCAGATGTTGACACCGTTCTTCTTCTTCCTCCACCCTTGCTTCCAGGTCATGACATATCTCCTCCAGTTCTTGTTTCTTGGCTGTCAGGCGGGCTCTTATCTCCTCAGCTTCAGCACAGAGTTCAGTTTCTGCTTGCAACTGTTCCTGCAGCTGCATCTTCTCTGCCATTAACTACATTGGACACAATGGACACATTGGACACAAAGGCAGAAGTAAGACAAGCTTCAATTTACCACAGCAGTCCGTGTTAAGTGAAGTTATGTACTCCAGGGTTCCACAGTTACAGTCTTAAAACATTGCAGCAGTGTCCTGCTGCTAATCAAAAGCTAAGTATCAAAAGATAGCTTTTAAGTGTTTATTCTCCTTCACAAACCATGCACCACAGCCACATATAATGTTAGCCTTAACTGATTTCTCAAGACCATGTCCATTTGAAATAAGGACACTGCCTAGTTTTCCCCCGCAAAAGTAACACAAATAATCATCAGCCCTACAGAAAAACAATGCTGCTGCCACCTTCTGTGTGGCAAGAAATGTTCCATCAATGACGAGGCTGAATTCAACCGGCTTGCTATAATACTCAGCCAATTTGCTAACAGCTATATAGAAGGGCAATAGGCAGTCACCGTACAAAATGCTGGAGTAACAGATGGGAGGAAGGGCAAAGGAAATTGAACAAGATGGCAGCCAAGTCATATTTTTCAAGAAGCTGGAATCCTGAAGCTTGTCCATTAGACCAATAAAGCAAAGGAGATGCTCCCAAGCAGTTGGCCAGGTCAGAGAAAATAACTTCTACACAGAAGACTTGCAAAATCACCTGGGCCTGGAAGGTCTCCATCTCACTCAGTCTATTTTCTGCAGCTAGCTGCTTCTCCTTGACCTTTATTAGTTCTTCTTCCTTGGCCATCATCTCCTCTTCCTGTCTGCTTACTTGCAGAAGGGGCTTCACCTGAAAGGGAAACCAAGGGAATTAGATGTGCATAAGGAACAAATACAAAGAAATGCTCTGTACTTGATAACCACTGAATAAAATAACAATTTAGGTAAGTGTCATATCTGAAGGACTGACCAGGTGTTTTGTTGTGAACACTGGGAGGATCAGAGGACTAGATATCACCTACTCAGCCAATAACACACTTTATGCCTGCACAACTTTTCCTCTAGAATGGGATGCATCAGAAAAGGGGTGGGTAAATTCCAGACCCTCGAGGGCTAAGTAGTAATAACAGAAGAATAAAAAAGTTGCAATACAGTAGGGAAATTCACAGGTAGGTCAAAATAAACAAAAACCCAACACCTGTCTCTGTGCTCTCCCATCAAAAACCCTCAGAAGCAATTTCATAGTAAAGAGTTTAAACTCTGCTCTCAACTCTCATTTAGCTGCAGTCTCATGGCTAAAAGTAAGAAAACCCATACATTTACAAGGAAAACCATTTCTTCATGTGCTCATTTTTATAAAGGTAAAATATCTACTAGTCTAACATCAAGATCAGACTTCAGTGCTTTTCCCTTGCTTTTACAACTGTGGAGAAAGAGATTACAAGCCATCCCCATATCAACAATTTTTGGCTAGTTAAATTGACTAGCGATGTTGTAAGACACTCTTTGGAGTGTGATACCACCAAAGCAAGTGATCCTCTTGCTCCTTTCAAGTGTAAAGCATTAAAAGATGACTTCTGCTTTCCTATAACATTACTTGGATATAGTCTTGCACTTTGTTTATGCAGGTATACTGTGTAGCTATAAAATATGCTATGATATCCTCTGCCTAAATGAATCAAGGTTTAGTTGTAAGCCGGCCCAGTTGTAGAGGAAGTGGGTTTTGTGGTCTGGTTCAACCTGAGAAGTTAAAATTTCAACCAAACCGTCAAAATTGCAAAGGGAAAAAATATTACCTTGGTGAACAACCTCCACCACTGCCAGTTCCGCAGTTTCAAATAAGCAGCACAGTTCCTCTGAAGCACTTTCATGGCTGTCAATTGCTGTTGGCGCTTGGCAAAGGCTCTGCAAGATAAGTGGAGGTCAGACAAAGGAACCCACAGCAGCGCCCAATTCTCTCCAAGCCCTTTCTTAGACATGTCTAAATTTTTACTTTAGAAGGCTTCCTCCTAGAAAACCAGCAACATTTCTACTAAACTTTCTCTATCTTTTTGAGTCTTCTCTGCTCAAGTAAGAGCGGTTAATCCTTTCCTTTATTCAATTTTCTATTTAATTAAGTTTTTCCCTAATGTCTTCTAATCTGAAAAGCCTCACCATTTTAACTTCAAAAAAGGGAGATATGAAACAGAGGTGTGCTTTCCTGACAATCTGACTGATACTGCTTTTATTTTAAGAACTGTACCCAACACTTTGAGAGAAATCCTACACCTCCTGGATCAGTATTGTACTAAGACCTTTTCATTTTCACATCTGCAGTTTGCAGCACTTCTGTCAAAATCTTTGCCGGGTGCATAGTATTCCTATAGAGAGGAATAGGCTTTACTGCTCTGGTAGTACATAGGATAGAAGCAAAGAGAATTTCTCACAGGTGCCAGAAGTCCAGCATTACAGAGATCAGAAAAACGTAGAACACCATCAACATTATATAGAACAAATAAATTGTGGCCATCCTGACAAAAAATAATTTCTAGTCAGCTTTTTCTGAAGAGAAACTTATACCTGAATGGGAGAAATACATGTTTATAATGTACTTTACAAAGTATGGTCCTTACTTTCTAGCCAGGTAGCCTCTGCAGCATGCTTGGAAGCCAATAATGACATCTGTGATCTTCAGGTCTCTCTCTTCTTCAAGATGAGCAAGGACTCCAGCTCTGAAAAACACTTTACTCTGTCCAATTCGGTAAAGGTTGGAATCCAGCTCCAATGCTTTGATCTAAAATGAGAGAGAAGAATTCATCTGCAAAGACCACTTCATGTGAAAAATCACAAAACATATTTGTGTGTCATGCCTGTAAGATACCACTTCCCTACAATGAGCTACTCAGACCAAAGTTGCTAGTTCCCAATAAAGTCCTGTCCCAATTAGAAGAGTTGGAGCTCAGCCAAGCACAGCATAAAACAGAGGTAAAGAGAGACAGAAAATATGACAGAAAGCATTGCTTAATACACCACCACATCAAGTACCCAGAACTACAAGGATACTGTGAGGAACATATGCCTAGTCCCAATAGCCCTCTTCCTTTCCTAAAGGAATCACATCTGTTGATCCCTCCTATTTATTTTTTCCCAGGCCTAACCTTTGTCAGAAAAAGGCACTCCAACCAACTTTCCTGTCCTTTAAAGGATTTGCTGCCAACACTTATAGTAGTTAAGAGGAATAAGGTACAAAGACAGAAAAAAAGGGAATCCTTCACAGCCGAATTCAATTCAGTCTCCCCTAAACTTCAAGCTACAGAGCCACATATTCCCCTTTGAAGCAAGCAATTCTGCAGAAATTAATTGGAGCCTTCACTTGCATTTTTCATCAGCAAGCCATTACAAAAAGTTTGTTGAAGCTCATACTTTAAGCATGTGCTGAAGGTAACATAAGCATTTTGATTATATGAATACCGCTGGCATCTCAAAGTGGTAACAGAAAGATCTTCTGCCTAGAATTATCAAACCTCATGCTAGTCAAAAGCCTCCATCTCCGAAGCCAAAACAAAGCTTTTTGCACACTCCTTCTCTCAGATAAAACATTGACTTTGGTTATTTTTTTTCTGTGAGTATAAGATATATTTAACATGCACAATTCCAATTTCCAAACCACACCCATAAAGTTTTTTCTATTCAAGTAGAGTTTATGGGATGTCTTACCATCAGCACACAAGCCTGCTTTCCATCCATAAATCCTTTGGGAATTGCATTTGGAGTTAAGATTTCGTATCTGAAAAGGAGAAAGCCTTAGACTAGTTACACAGGTATATTTGAAAACAACAAACAAACCAACCAATCACTAATGCACTCCTATGCCATTATGACTTCGACAGTTTATGGTCTTGTTAGAAGAAAAAAAATTGCATTTCTAGACAGATTATGAAGCAGCAGTCTTAGATGGGGTCTTCTATGCCTCACCTTAACTACATGCTTACTAGAGAATTCAAAGATGCTTTTGGGAGGCTTTGTGCTAGAGAACACCAAGGGACAGATGCGCTGCCTTTGAAAACAGTAACAATCTAGTTGCAATAAAATACTTCCTTTTTTGTGCTTACGTCTTAACTTTGCCAGGATATAGACTGCTTCAGATTCTTTTCTAGACCTTACCTTTGCCTGAATTCCTGGAATACTACTCTGTTGGGGAAACCTTGACGACAAATACGGATTCCTTCCAGCACTCCATTACAGCGAAGCTGGTCGAGGACCAAGTGGGGATCTAGTTTTCCAGCCTAGTGATGAAAAGTATATTTTATAAATACCACAAAGGTTTTATAAGAGGGGCTTACCCCTTTGCCACTTCTTTTTCGTAAAGCAGCCATTTCTCTCTTTTCCAGTTAGAAACAAGAACTGCAAGGACCAGTCTCCAAAATTTTGGTGAAGTATACAATTATTTAGGATGACCTTAAAAAGATATCCTGAGAAAACAGGATGTCTATAAGATCTCTTCCAAAACCTGACAAAAGGTAGCAACCCAGCCTCATGCCCCAAGAAGCCCAGGTAAAACTGAATGGGCTGCACTATTAGAACTGTCTTTACCTTTTTCTCATGGTTGGGGATAATGCAACGGACAAAATTGGGGTTGGTGTTCCTCAAGGTAGCCATCAGTTTAGCCAGCTGTTCTTTATAGAGTTGTCCCACTGTTCGGAACATACCCTTCCTGGTTTTAAAGGCCCCTGGCAATGCTGTATCTGACATACCAGCTACCTGATCCAGTCCAACAATACGGTCAACTAGAGAGAGCACAAAAAAGAGTGTTAAAATTCTGCCACAAACAAAGGAAGCACTGGAACATACAAAGAACATCTGGGTAGAACAGGATAAATGAGAGGAGCTGCAGGATCCTTTTTGCGTCATCTTTACATAGATGTTGATTCCTGTACAGAATTTGTGCAGGGATAGGAGCAGGAATGAAAGAAAAAAGCAACAGCTCACTACAGGAAGTTTGAGTGATGGAGTCAAACTTACACCCAAACATATTCTACTGATGCTCTGGAAGTGCAATCTAGAAGTGAGTTTCAGATGCTTCTGCTTGCTTAGGTTACCAAAAAAAAAAAAAAAGCCAACCAAGAGTTCTAGCTGCTAGCCCAGCAGAATCAACTGTTGGTTAACTCTGACCCAAAAGGGGCTACAGTTAGAGAAAAAGCCCAGCTTCACTCTTGCATTACAGGCAGAACTGCCACGACCAGTGATCAGAAAAGCTGTATCTACTTGTAATATCAGCAAACATGGTAAAAGGCATGATGGAACCCAAACCTCAAGATACCAGTTTGAGTTATTTTTCAAGTACAAGTATTCTATAAGAGACATGAACAATTCCACTAGGAGTAAGTCAAAACTTCCTGTCCCAACAGTTTCTCCATTATGTCACAGTGACATGCAAGCACTGAAGCTATCAACCTGATGGGTGCACTCCACAGATCCCTTATTTCAACAGAAGTCAGCAAGATCTGAGAGTAGCAGGGGCAAGAAGAAACTACAGCACTGCTTTTTCCCATTGCTCTTCTACATAGAGATAACAATTCACCCACCCAACCAAAACCAGCTGTATTGCTGTAAATTTCCACACCCTCAGTACATTTTTATTAAGGGCTTCAAGCTACTACTTCACTTTATCTTTAGTGGTTGTCTGATGACTACACTCAGGCTCCCAGTCTTCAGAAAATACATCAATTTGTGCTCAACTGGCTTCTGATTTAAAAAACTGCTAAGAGAAACATTTACCAAAGAAGAAACAATAAAGGATACTCTGATTTACAGCTAATATTTGTTTAGAACTGCTCACTTCTAGAGCAGCTGTTAGAATAGGGTCAAGGTTGTCTTATCAGAAAGAAAAGAAGGTTATGTTACTATATGACATCACAGGGAAATCCAAAGAAGAGTGTCCCAGATTGCAGATGGAACAATCCTCTTACAAATCTTGAGCCCTGCAATCTACATCAAGATAGCAAAAAGGACAGTCACTTGCAACAGAAGATCCAGCTAAGAATAACAGATGAGAACTGATATGTTGTTCAATTGACATTTCAAGTCCAAAAGGAGTCTCACACAACAAAGGCCCCATAAGGCACAAGTTGCTGACGGCCATTTTTCATGCAGCACAAGTTCCTTTGCCAAACTAACTTTCTTTTAAATGATCAGCAGCTGAAGTCAAATCTCAATACCAGAATCAATGTTAAAATGGATTTCAGTTTAAATGCAGTCTCAGAAATCTTCCTTCCTAATCTTGAAAGAAATACAGCCTTGATAGCTCTACGTTCAAACAGTTGACATTATTTACTTTTAGTTGTTCCTATGCAAGTCTTGCAAGAGCAACCTTTAGCACCTGAATATGTCCATATTTTTCTTGCATCCAATTGCAAGGTGAGTTTTGCTTTTGTTTTAAAGTCTGTGAGGAGCTACTAGCACAAAGCAGTGGAAATGAACGAGACAGACAAGCAGGTATGACAAAAGGACAAAGAGAAGTTAACAGAAGCATTCCTTGCATGGTTCTAGGATGCATTACACATGACAACAGCTGGGTTTCTCAGTCACCTGGTTCTAGATGAAGAATAGGAAAGTGTTGATAGAAATAGGCTCTCTGAACGTTCTGCATCTCTGCAACAGACAGAGACATCAAAGAAAACCCACCACAGAAAGTGACAGCAACAGTAAGACTCAAAAGCAAATAAACCCAGAGAAGATAAGAGTAAAATATTAAACAACACTGCAGAAAGAACAGATTAGTTGCAGGACTGAAAACACAGATTCAACCTCAGGTCTTGTGTTTGAGTACTGCAGCTGTGCAAACTGCTGGGACATAACGGTGCATTCATATTTTACCCTGGCATTCCTGGTTTCAAGAAAGAATTGCCATTTTTGCAGCACGCTTAACATATGCTGATGCAAGTAAAATTTTCTCTAGAGTTACAGTGAAATTTTAATGAAATATCATGATCTAAGCAAAGGATGTTCCAGATAATCCTCATCTTGGTGGCTTAGTCTTCAGGGGAAAAAGCAACACAGCTCACATACTTTTGATGATCAAATTCTTCCACATAAAACATGAGAAAACAAATGAGATTAAGTTTAATTACATACCATCTTTCCACAGCTCAGAGACAAACTTATCCGATGACTGGTGGAGAAGAGTTGCAATGTTATCATTCAGTGGATCCATGTTCTTCATCAGCCATTCATCTGCTTTATAATCCACCTGGAGAAGATAAGCACATCAAGAAACTTAGGGGGGATTTTCTGCAGCACAAGGTGCAACAAGATCCTGTAAAGTCTACAAAAGTAGCACTGAGGTTTACACAATCAGCAATAGGTTATCTAATCGTTCTTGGATTTGCCATCTAAGCAAGCATACCTACAAATTTCAAACCCTAACAAACAGCTGCATGTTCTGTCAGTAAAGGGAATGGATCTGCAATACTAGTTTGCACCACCCAGAGTGTGACACCAAAAACAACTGCATCATCATTTTTGGTAATGAAGTCTTGATGCAAGTTTCTGAAAAGTATCTCCAATCTCACCAAGTTACTGAGAACAAATTTAAATTGGTGTCAGTTTTGACATGTCTTTAACCGTACATGTATTACTTGCAGTCAGATTCCTTTAGGCCCTGTAAGGTCCACAGCAATGGAACAACTTCGTGAAATCTTCCACTGGATTCCCATAGGCAGACATTTTGCTAAGTAGCCATTTCTAAGCAGCAGTGGTTATGCATTAGAAAATACAGCAGATATTCCAATGTTCACATTTTAGCTACTAATTCCTTACCTTGCCAGCATAATGTATGATACAGAAGTCAGCTTTGTCTTTCAGCTGTTTTGGCTTCTGAAATTTGGGGTGGGTGCCTTGTTCTTGTACAACTTTTTCCACAAAGCTTTTGTCTGTTGCTTTTGGGAACCAGCACTCTTCATCCAGCAGGGCCAGTATACCAGGAGGCCCCGCCTTAAAGAAGGGAAACATCAAAACATCATTAAATACATGACTACACCAAAAATTAACACCTTTAGATGGTGTGATGGTTTGACTCTGGCTAAATGCCAAGTATCCACCAAGTCCCTCTATCACTTCCCCCCCCCTTTTCCCCTTGTTTTCTCAATAGGGTAAAGAGGGGAAAGAAGATAAACTAACCCTTGTGGGTGAAACAAAAGCAGTTTTAATATAAGCAAGGCAAAGCAAAAGTCCACGCATGGAAGCAAAAGCAAACAGATTTATTCTCTACTTCCCGTGGACAGGCGATGTCGGGCCTTCTCAGGAAGCAGGGCTCCCATACGTGTAGTAGTTGCCTCAGAGGACCAAGGGTGACCCCACCCCCTTCCTCCTTTCTCCCAGCTTTATACTGAGCAGACGTCATATGGTATGGAATATCCCTTTGGTCGGTTTGGGTCAGCTGTCCTGGCTGTGTCCCCTCCCAAGATCTTGCCCACCCCGTCCCACTGGGGGAAATATCAGAAAGAGCCTTGGTGCTGTGTAAGCCCTGCTCAGCAGTAGCCACAACACCAGTGTGCTATCAACACCCTGCCAGCTCCCAGCATAAAACACAGCACCGTGAGGGCTGCTGTAGGGGAAAACCAATTCCAGTTCAGCCAGACCCAGTACAGATGGCTAAAAAAGAAAACCAAATAATCAGGACGCCAAGGCCTGATGATCCCCATCACATTCATCTGTTGTGTGATATCAGTTCAACTACTTTGATACTAATGAAAATCACTAATAATTCTTCAAAATTCTCATCTGAATTCTGAACATTTTTATGAGAAGGTCTCTCCCATGACATTTGTCTAGGTTGTTTTATGTGGAAAAAAAAAAATCTTTTAAATAGAAAGAACACTATCACACTGTTCTCCAAATATCCAGGTGTCTAAACACAGAAGATCATAGCAGAATATTTCATAAACTAGTCCTTACTATTAGAACATCTACTATTAAATTTATAAATTTCCAAGTTTCATTAGAGTGGAATGAAAGCAACAGAGATTCACAGCTCATCACACAGTTAAGTAAGGAAGTTCACACTACTTATAGTAAGCCTCACATACATCTAGCACCATGCAGATCTACACAAATGAAGACAGTTTTATGAGAGGAAAAAGTGGCTGACCAGGTCTGTTCTCATGCAGTATTTTCTACAGAACTGATCCTAACAGATGTATTGGTGACATACTTTCAGACAAAGAGGAAATGGTTCACTTCGGCTTCTAAGCATACCACAGTGTCAGTACAGGATTACAAAAACCTAGAAAGCTAGTTCTAGTCTACAGGTAGGGGTTATGTGCTCAATGACAAAATCAGTGCAGCCATTTCTTTCTTGCTGCTCTATGATAGAACAAACAAGCTTACCGGCTTCTCTATGAGATCAATGCAGGGCTGCAGATCCAGGCCAAAGTCAATGAAATTCCACTCTATGCCCTCCCTCTGGTACTCCTCTTGCTCCAGAATGAACATGGTGTGGTTAAAGAGCTGCTGCAACTTCTCATTTGTGTAGTTAATACACAACTGCTCAAAGGAGTTCAGCTAATGAAGAAAGAGGTAGAAAGATGTTCAAACAGTTGCTTTTGAAGACACACCTACTACCCTCTTAGCACAAAAGATCACATCTACAGTTCAGAATTTAAGCTAGTGTTCTGTATGGGCTGGACAGCCCTTCATGAATAGCTCCATTTGCTTATGGACTGCCTTTCATGTCACGTGACACTGCATCAGTGCTGCAATCCCTAGGGAAGTTCATACACACTGCTCCTCAGACTTTGCAAAAGAATGTTTTAGTTGTGAACAGCAGAATTACTGCAGCTACTTAACCCAGGAATAGAAAAGACTCTGGTTTTCTCACAAACTCAAAGCTGGCAAGTCATTTTCATAGGAAGATGAAGCAACAGAAGCCTGAAGACAAATTCCTAAAAACATGTGGACTGAAAAGTCCCTATTTAAATCCTCATATATAAAATCAGAGCAAGAAAAAATGAGGGAAATTCCTTTAACATCTCCAAATTTCTTCAAATTGTAAGGACAAGGTAAATAACCCACAGTGCATTTTCATGTTAGATCACATTAAATATAATGCAGCTGCTAAAGAGAATGGTCCTGTTCTTCCTCCATGTTTCAGTAACTCCTAACCATGTATTTCCATTCCCCTCCTTTACATGAGATCCAGCAACCATGAAACCAAAGACAGACTGATCAGAGATGGGGAAGGAGACAAAAAAAAAACCAAACCAAACAAAACCACACCCAACTTTTCTGTGTCTTCATTCTCCATTTCATGGATAAATTGTTCCATTTCACTTTGCAGCTGCACATGAACTAGATCCAACATAACACAGTTTGATAAGAGGTGCCTGACTGGGATAATGGCAGGATACTTTGGCAGAGTCTTTGATGGCAGCTTGTGGTTGCTTCAGACTAAGTATAATGCAAAGTCACATTCTAAAAGTCATTATTTCATAGACATAATGGTTTGGCCTAACAGTTCACTGCCACCTGTAGAGGGAGTTCCCACTTCCTCTCTTTTCCATCTCTCCCTCAACATTCCTTCAGCTCTTCCTTGTCTACATTTATCTTGCAACAGTTTTTATGCTCAGATTCCCCTTTGCAGACTGATTCAATTATAAAACACCCAAAGAAAATATTTTCCACAGGGCTAATGAGGTGAACATTACAAGCAGTTGCAGACAGGAGCAGCAAAGGGGAAAAGGAGCAAGTTCACTCCTTGTCCACATCATGGAGTCACGATTAAATTCATTTAGCTGTATGTGAAACCCCACTCTGATCCCAAATTTTCAAGCGTTTTGCAAAAAGAAGCCTACAAAGGCCAGAATTTACATTGGATCTGATTTGGCCTATCCTGTCTTTGTCTTTTCCAAAACTCATCAGCAGGAAGAAACCACATCTAACAATTTTTAATGACACCAATAGATTTTGGTGGGTCATCCCTTAAATGTTTTGGGACAGATTAACGGGACATAAAATTTTAAGTGCGATGATGATCCATAATTCTACATGACATTTTAAAACTCTTGTTGGTTAGCAAACTCTTAAGGTGTGAGCTATAAAAAAATCAGGAATACCTGGAATTGTGCAATTAAAATAACTTTAACCCACATACCAAAAAAGTATGTAAGCACCAGAATATACAGCAATAAGATAAAACATTTGCAGAATACATAATATACTATGGCAATGAACCACTGAAGTTATTAACTAACTTATCTGACAGTTCACATCATCAGAGATCTCAAATAACAGAAGTGGAATATACATCCTTTCCAAAACTATAGCGTTCTTTTCCAGTTTTAAGCAGATTTCCTTCAGCAGTCTCTGCTGCATGGTTTCCTTCAGCAGTCTCTGCTGCATGGTAACTGTGCTGAGCGCAAGGACCTGACATCTCCTTACCTCAAAAATCTCAAAGCCAGCAATGTCAAGGATTCCAATGAAGGATGCACCCTGTCGCTTGGTCTTATCCAATGCTTTGTTGATACGCATAACCAGCCACCGGAACATACGTTCATAAGTGGCTTTAGCTAGTGCTTCAATGGCAAAGTCAGCCTAAACAGGAAAAAAGACAAAAATCAGGAGTTACATTACAATCCAAAGGAAGTCACAGTGTTATGGCATCTAATGGCTCAAACTCACTGAACAAGGCTCATTGCAGAAGTTATTCCCCATGAAAAGTAGATGGCATAGCAGTACTCCATCAAAAAGATGAAAGAATTTGTCTTAAATTAGCATGTCAAAGCCAAATTTCAGGATCCTGCCTGTTGGAGAAATCAAGGCCTGGTATTCAAGAAAGAAAAACGATGCCCAGTCACCTCCAAAGACTATAGTAACATAGCATGCTTCATAGGCCCAAAGAAAAGCATTTAAATTATTTTGTAATTTAGGATTTGTGAAGCCGAATCCCTCCCTCCCATGCCACTACCCTACCTGTGAATGACACAAAAATACTATGTATAGTAAGAAATTACATATCAGAATGGAAAGGTAGCACAGAAAGGTAGCTTGTGACTATTTCTAGACTTTACTCTTCCTAATCCCTTCCATATTATGGGGCCTTGGTTTTTTTACACTGAGAATAAGGATGTGTTCATAAAGAAGCTGTGCAGCGGATAAGCACAGGGGCCTTGCTCCATTCAGGAGGGCACTAGCTTCTAGGTCAGGTCTCATTTAGAGGATAACCTGATTCAAGAATCTTACAAAATTTACAATCAGTTTCAAGGGTCATCAGCAAATTCTTCCACCCTAGTAGCTGAACTATTCAAAAATTACAGCAGCTTGAAAATGTCATCCTTGCATACAGCACTAAAGGAATTTATTCCCTTGAGAAAGCCAGTCACCAAAATTATGGGACTTGTGTTCTCTTTTTTTTTTTTATCCTTTTAGATGAGAAAGTGCTACAGGGCAGGGTGATTTCAATCCTTACACAGATCAAGTGAGCAAATACTAGGAGCAATACATATGCTGCATTATTCAATTGTGGTTGCCATACACTGCAGTCAAAGATGGTTATTAAACACTACAGAAACCTCTGATACATGTCAGCTTTGTGGCAGCAAGATTAAAGACTGAAGTACTTGTTCATTTTTAGAGAATGCGCACCTGCTCTTTGGTTTGAGCTTTCTGGACATAATCTCGTCCAACTTTGATGCGAGGAGTTAGGATACCTCTAGTGAAATCCGTCACATTGATACCCAAAAGGTGAGACACTTTCTGAGCAGCTAAAGATGGTAAGAGGAAACAACAAAAGAGATTAATGTTCTTTTTCTTACAGTAGTATGCAACAGTAAAACATTCCTGCAACTGCCTTCCTAAGAGAGTCATGAAACAGCTTACAGAAAATGTTAAATTAAGAACAGGTTGATAAGACAAAAAAAATGCTATCTTCAAAACAAAAAAAATCCCCCCAAAAACTCTTGCAACAGGGTTTCTCTGGAAGCCAAAGAGTAAATCTGATGTAATACTCTCATACCACTAGGTCACAACATGGAAGCTTTAGAAAGTTCATAGTCTGTACTCAATTTAAATATGCATCAAGTAATGGATTTTTAAATCAAGCTAATGGTTCTGTCTTCATTTACAGATTAGTCTTTGAGGCAACTCTGTATTTCAGATTCAAGATCCAAAACCCAAATGGCTTACTCTCCTCCCCAAAATGCCATTTAGAGCACATTTTCCATAACAATAATAGCCAAACATATAAACACTTAAAGATAAATTAGCAACCTCTTGTATTTCTGCAGTACATCTATAATGAAGGTCTCAGAGTTAAGTCTTCCAACAGATAGCCTTCTATCATGTGAAACATTGTACAAATGCATCAATGGGCAGTGCACTTAGAATACGTACACATACTTTACACCTTACTCTTAGTTATAAGTCTACCTACAAAGTCAGCAAAGAACATTCCTTAAACTCTGATCATATTGGTTTGTAGGAGCAATCATTTCTAGATTGGTTAACACACACACACACACACACACACACACACTACATGTTCCAGTAGAGTAAACCTATTCATCTGGTCATCACGCGTATTTTCTGCCTGGCCCTGTCACAAGAACAGTGCCACATTCCTGCCCATGGGTGGCTGTAAACACACGCCTAGCAAAACAGCCTGCATTTGTATGAAGAAGCACGTCAGCTTCTTTGACAAATAATTCACCTTATGGAAAAAACAGGACTCCAACATTCCCCACATACTGTATTATTCCTGTAGGCCTTTTCCTGCATTTTAGATTGGGAGGTGAGTGGGGGATAGGAGGAGGGTTACCTGTATTGTCTGGCATAGAGGCTTGGTCTGTATTACGCTCCTTCTTGAAGACTATGTTTCCAAGTTGAAGAACACCCGAGATAACCTTCAGCAGACCTTTTAAAATAATAATAGCTTGGTGTTAGACATCACCAAAAGCATTGATATGACCGAGTTAGCTTTCCTGACATGATTAAGAGGCCCTTCTCAACATCCTGAAGATTTTTCTGGAATCTGGAAAAAAGCATCACAGATAATTCCTTTATATGACTCCCATTCAGGACCCAGGACTGACTTTCTCTGTCCCTCCTATGCAAGACTATACAGCCTGGAAATGTACCCATTCCCAACACCACTATAAGTAAAGTGGGAGACAGGACTGAGGGTAATGCGTCACAGTATTCCCTGTTACAGGGCCAAAATTCCAGTATTTCCCCAATGACTACTGTTAGACAGAGGAAAGAGACAGTTTTTAAGAGTACAAACCAAATAAGAGAAGGAAGATTTTGTTCCTTTAGCCCTGTATCACTTTCAGCTCCCTGACCAAGGCCTGTAGTCCATACAGCATGCGTTATAATGTATGGGCAGCAGGATGTGGGCAAAAGTGCCTGTACCATAACTGTTACTTACTACATGTTGAAGCATCCCACCCGTTGCTAACGATATATTCATACTCTTCAAATGATGCATGTCTCACAAATATCACCAGATGCCAGGGCAGGAAATAAATTTTTCAATGCCATAGCATCAATTCAGTTTTCACTGTGTATCAGTCAAAGCTCATTGCATCATAGCTACCAGTGGTCTTAAGCAAAGCAAACTGCCAGTCACATGCAAAGGAGATCTTGTACCAAAGATTTTTTTGGTCTGCTAATTTCTACCTGTTACAGAAACGTTTGTTTTAAAACAATATCCTTTTATAGCAGAGCAAACAAAGGCTCCATACATGCTATATCGGGACCAACAGAAACATGTATGTTCCTAGTGACATGTTACGAAATTCAGTGGTTTGACAGCTGAGTCTGGAGTCCTGGCACTTGGGCAGACAGCTTATTTTGATGTTGTCTCATATATGAAGATAGTGTTTAGACTATACATCCTAACTAAGCAAGCTACTCCATGCATTATTCTTCTAAGACTGTAAGGTACATTAATGCACTCTGAACAGCAAGTGCTAAACAGTAAAGCTATCTTTGTTCTAGTGGCTGGAACCAACAGCTCATCTGTGTGACAGCAAAGACATGCCCTAGAGCATACGTTAAAAACCCTACTCAAAAACATTAGTATAGCAGGACATCCTAATAGTAAATTAGGCTGCCAAATCTTTTGTTCAGTTTAGGCAAATTTCTCTTCACCTCCATACAGCAGTTTCAGTTGATTCAGGATATCGAGAAGTGTATTAAACTGTGGATAACAACAGCATGGATTCATAGCAGACTGGACTGTGAAGAGCAATAGTTAAGGCACAGGCACATATTCCCTACACCCACAAGAGCTGCAGACTCAAGCAGAGGAGGTGATGACATCAAACCACCACAGATGCTTGCTTTAGGGTCGAGGAAAAACAGTCCTAGTTTTAGAAGACCTTATACATTTAGAAACTCAGATTTTGCAGAACACTGGTTCCCAACCAGTGAGGCAGATCCCGAATGAGACAGCACAGAGCTCTGGTGAATACATATCACTGCACTTTGTGCTGGCTGCATGCAATTCTAGCTCCCACTGTCATGGTACTGTGCTCCCAGAATCAGACAATATTAATTTCTGATCAGCAGTTCAGTGTTAAGCTAGAAAGAAAGGCACTCTGACCAGGCCATTCTCAAAGCACTAATCCAGCAGAGGTTGGATTAGATACTTTAAAGCCACTGCTTAGGTACAGGGCTGTGCATTGCCCAAGAGAATGAGGGGATTCTTGTATCTTGGATGTGTTATTCATAAACTGGATATATAGCCCTCAGATTGGGAACAAAACCAGCAAGCAGAAGCATGTTTTCATTCACTGCTTGACTTCTAACACTAACTGTATAAACTGAAACTGTGCTAGTAGTTCCTGAAGTGTGTCACTCCAAAGCCACTGAGTTTTACTTGTATACTGTTCACTTGGGGGAGCCGGGGGAGAGGGGAAAATGGACACCAGACAAAACAAAACTAATGAAAAAAATCCCCCACAACAAGCAAACAAAAAAAGAACCCCAGAACAAAAAAGCTCCAGAGAGATATGATCCGTTTCCTCTTTCATTTCCTTGAATTTCAAGCCCTTCAGAGGATTCATACCTATCTGCTCCTCATCTGGGATGCCCATGATCTTCATCGCTTCCATGGTCTCCTGAAACATATCTTTGTCTTGCTGACCCGGGATCGTAACATGCCCATTGGAAAGGAAGCGATACTTATTGTAAGGCTCCAGCAGCAGGTCAGCTTAGGAAGGAATTGAGAAAGAAGTTACTATGGCTTTTCCGTTGTTTGTTTTGTTTTGTTTTCTTAAACAGACAACAAGCTACCAGTGAGATCAAATTTCTGACTTGCATATGCTAGCAGGTGCTGGATGAATCTGGAATTAAGCCCAGTTTTACTGCAGGCTGAACATTTCATGTATTCTAGATAAAATTGGGGAAGTTTTCTGCTTTATTTCTTTTTATTCCCTCCTCTGGACTACTCCACTAAAGCAATGTCAATCATTATTATGCCTTAAGTCTATAAGAAACAGGGATTAACTTGAAAGTAAATTTGCCTTTCATTTCAGACACCTCTCATCTGTTTCAAGTCAGGTGAAAGTTAATATATAGCTCTTCAAACAGCAGCAGCTACGAGAAAAGTCCCCTTCTCTTGTCCTTCCTCCAGATCCATTTGCAGCTCTTGCACAGTATGTACTCTGATTACTAGGCTAAGGTATCACAGATAGTTGTGCTAGGATCCTAGATTTCTAGAGCTGCTTAGGTGCTAGCAGCTTTGCTCCATTCAGTTAAATGCCGAGAACATCACAATAGGGCCATTCTTGCACTAGAAGAGTTTACATCATGCAAGACAAGACTAAACATGGAACAGTGATTTAGATAAGGAAGGGTGTAGAGTCATTGCTGGCAAGGAGACAACTGCAGAAAGACACCAGAGAAGCAAGTTTTCAGGAACTAAGTAGTACGGGGAGAGGGCAGAGGGATCTATAAGTGTATGGAAGAAATGGAGGAGAGGCAGCCACATCTAAAAGGCTGAGCTAAGAAACTGTGAAGGAACAGACCCTAGCCTACAAGTGTTTTGGACCTTCTGTCATTGTGATGAGGCAAAACTTATAACTACAACACAATCATACTTACTCTTCAAATGCTCCCCTGCCCCAGACAGCAGGTAGTAAAAGATGTGGAAGGTTCTCTCCTCTTTGGCTTGACGAATTGCACGCGATTTCTCCAGTAGATCTTCAGAGAGTCAAGGTATATGGGACAACATACAAATCACTTCCTATTCTATAGCAGGAGAAAAAACTCATACTACCTGATGGTCTCTTTGTGTCAATTACCAGGGATATTGATTTAGCAATCATTATCAGCCAACAACCCACTGAGCTTCTGGTCTCAGTTCTGCCAGCCTCTGAATGATGGTGATGATGAGAGACTTAACTGATAAAAAGCAGACTTAACTGGAAAAAAGCCAGCCAGCCAGCCATCTCTATTCACCTTGGACATAAGTGAGAATTACTTATGAAATTCCAAAGCTATTCATCTTATTACAGTTTATGCTTCCACTTCAGCCTCCTAAGATTCATTCATTCAGAAAAGACACCATAAAAGTCACATAATATTATATGAAAAAACAGGAGACTCCATCAGTAATCTTGCTAGCATAAATTTAACTGCTTCCTGCCACTTTCTCAACCTGACAAAGGGAAAGTCAGTTGTGAAGACATTGCTAGGTACCATTAGTGCCACCTCTATAGCCTTAAATGTCTCATTTTAAGTTGTTACAGAAAGGATACAGGTCTCGATATTAGCTCCAACAATGTAGCCATTGACATCAAAGTTGATTCTGATGAACTTGCCCTAAAAGGAATGTAATAGCATTAAAATTAGTATTCATTCCATCTGGTAACAGCAGTAAACAGTAAAGGTAAACCTTCTCTTTTTAACTCAAGAAAGGAAATTCTGAACAGGTCAGGCAGGTTTTAGGCAAATAAGGTCAAGGTCAATCAATAAGCAATGCCTGCTGATCGTAACAGGATTTAACAAGACACCAATCACTTTCAGAAACTTCTGACATTCAGTCAGCCTAAAATTCAAATTCAGTAGGTTTCAGCCTAGATTTCCAACAACCAGGGTCCCTTATAGTTTTATGTGCTATATGATCTAAGCAGTTCCACCTCCCTCAATGGTAGCTTCAATCATTTTCATTTAGTTCCAGCTTTCCCACCTGCCTCTCAGATGCTGTTCGTTGCTCTGAAGAGCAAGCAAAATAAGGACCAGTATTTGTTCTCCAGGACAAAATTGACTGTCATAAACTTACAATAAAAATCAGCATAGATAATCCTGGCACAGGGTCAGGCTCCTTCATTCCAGAGACTTATCAGGCCTATTTTGGATAATTCACTGAATGAAATTCACTTCCTAGATTAATTTGAAGGAAGTCACTCAGACAACTGTCTTATACCTGATAGCAATTCACCCAAAAGCAGACCAAGCCTTCTCTCTGGAAAGTGTAGAATGCTAGCACCCATGCCAAATAGTAATACTCACAAATCTTGAGGAGTTATCATTCTTTACTGTCTTGGCATTTCCAAAGGCCTCCAGGATAGGATTAGCCTGGAGCAACTGTCTCTCCAGTTCTCCCTGAAGAGAAATCAGAAATCAGTAAAGTGGTAGGAGTTCACTGCACTAACCTTGGGTCAAACCAGTGCTGAAGTTTCAATTCACACTAGCTTGGCATCTGTTGTAGAGAAGCCATGTTAAACCTTAGGAGATTATCCCTTAAGCCTTCAAAGGAGACTCATTAGTTATCGGGGTAAAACAGAAACATTCCACAAATATGCCTTGTTCCCTTCAACATTAGCACATCCCAGTGCTACCCTTCTGTTAACAAGAAGTCCTTCAAAGTCCCTTGGCCATAACATCCCACAGACTTCCCAGGATCGAATCAAAACACCATACCATCCAAGATCAGGCCCTCATCCCAGAAGTGTCTTGCCATCTAGGCTGGAAGAATGAGGAAAATTCTGTCTTGCTACTGCAAGACAGCCCTGAATTCTGCTAGTAGTAAGTTAAGAAGTTAGTCTGAAAGGGTCTAATGTTTTAAAACAAACAAAAACGACCCAAAAAGCTTGCACTAAGAGTCTACATCTTTCAAAATACAAACAAGCGAGCAAAAACCTCCTTTGTAAGAGAGCACACACACCAAAAAAAGAGAATTAGTGGTATCCCACAAACTGCATGATTGCTTGCGCTCTGCTGCCATATTTGCACACTCTTCCCCTCAAGGAACATAAAATGCTGGAGCTGTAGAAAAATTCGAAACCTTTATCCCTGCCAAGTACTAGACCATTGGAGCATATACACCTTTCCCGCAGGGTCTAGATACATCCCTGGCTGCTTTTAAAAATTAATTGTCCTCTGTGTTAAAACCGTAGAGTTCTATGTATTTCAAGATTACCTAAAAAGCTTCTAGAGACAGAAAATGACAGTTTAGATTAACATTTCTCTTTTTAGAAGTTATAGTAAGTACTCAAGTCTTCCTGTGCGTAACTGTTGGAAATGAAGTTTGATTCACAACAACTGGAATTTATGGGCAAATTATTTAAGGATATTTCTAAAGGAAAATTGTCCCCATTCATTCTCAAAGTGCATTATAGAACAAATTAGTCCTTACAACTGTACAAAGAACTACAAGTCTTTTTTTACTTGCACAATCACCTCACTTCACACTTGCAAAGTGCAAGGCCAAACAAGACCCTCAGTCCCTGTAGAACTGCACATATACAGAAGAGGCAGCTGCTGCAAATGCTTTCATTCACTGTCAAGTATATATAACAAGAGGGTTAGCCCTGGGAAGGGAACTGGAGCTGGGACATCTGCTCTCTCACAACAGAGCTAGCACATGGCTTTGTAAGGAGAAAACCTTGAAACTGGGTTTAGTCCTTGAAACTGTGTGGCAGTCATATTTCCCCTCCTATTCTGGGCATGTGTACTGAAGTTGGAACACTCTTCCCTCACCCCATTCCTTCTCCCCATCCTGCAGTAAAGTCCTAGGCCTTTGTTTGGCTTCAATCTGTTACAATGCAAGATAGAGATGCCAGCAACATAGCATTTCAACCCAACCATAGAACAAGGGAAGAGATTTTAAAAAGCCCATTTTTTCCTCTACACAGAAGTCAGGCTTTGACATCAAATCTATTTTAATTATTTAGCTAAAAATAAAACTAAGATCATGTTTAGCTACACAAAAAAACAAATTTATAGAAATGCATACTATAGACCCTTCTATTTAGTACCTCAGGAAGAAAACATCATTAGTGTCAAGTAGGTGTTGGTAAACTGTAGTTTAGAGGTGATTATGTCCCTTCAATCACCAAGGTGGCAATACACATAGATACTATCAGGTTCAACAGCAGTATAAAGCTGTGGGGAAATGAAAACAGTGAAGAGCTGGTAAAGTCAGTCAGCTCTCATGACTTGCCTCAGCACCATGATAGAGATCAAGTTTCTAACATGCCATGGCAATGGCACAGAAGATTAAGTGGCTGAGATTACTGCAGTGTATCAATTCCTCACTGTACGCTGTCTTCGTTTGAAAAGGTTTTGGGTGGAGTTTGTTGGGGTTTTTTAGCTTAAATGTTGATGGTCACCTCTCATTGAAGGAAAAGACTTCACTATTATTATACAATGCATAATCCTGCAAAGCAAGAATAGTACAACACAGAGCTGTCCATCACAAGCTTTCTAGAAATTTTAAGATTCCTATCATGAAGATGCTGCCAATTTTCTAACACTCGTAACTGCCATTCCTTTACCTGAAATAAATTTGTTTAATACATGGGATGCATTTGAAGCATGTACAATATTCCCCCTGAAAACAGAAGCAGTAACAGCCACTAAAACTGTTAGCCTGTGGTTGGGTAGTGCACACTCTTCAGTACTCTCCTACTGCTCTGAAATCACATCACCAATTTAAAGCAACTAAAAACCTTAACATCTATCTTACATGAGATGTAAAAAAATCAGAGTACACTTTCTGGAATTATATCTATGCAAGGTAGATGGTTTTGCCAGCTATTTACTCTTCAGGAAGTATGGTGAAAGACATCTAGAAATCACAGCTAGCTTTAACAGAATGCATTTTAAAAAACTAAAAGATGGGCGACAGTGTTTGTTTGGTTTAGTGGGGGCTTTTGTTATTGTTTTTTTACACTTTAGGGGTTTGCTTTTGTATTATTTTCTGCAGTCATGGGAGATTGTCAAATAACTGAATCCCAACAGCCTGGGGAAGGGAGAAGGATCATCAGTAACCTAACCTTCATTACAAATATTTCAACATTAGCAACTATTACCCTTGAATTTCTGATTAGCTGCGAACATTCTCATCTTGAAAAAAATATTATGTGAATTAAGCAGTCACTAGAGAAGCAGAGACTAAACGTGGGAAAACATCAATTTCTATAAAATGAAAAAAAATATTTATATAATTGGATTCAGTAGACCCAAAAAGTAGCCTTAATGTGCTTAGTAGTCACACCATGCAGCAAGCTATTTAGCTGAATATACTGAAGCACTGGGATTGGTGGAAGGTACCACTACCTCGAAAACCAGGGAGCTAGAATTGGAGAATATGCTTTGTAAAACTGATTTTGCTCTGATACTTTGAAAAATGGGGATTTACAGCCAAAACTTTTAATAGGTGACAGCCAAGAAACCTTCCTCACGGATAAAGCACCACTGCTTTCTATATTAAGTTCTGTGCCTAATCTTGCAGCATAAAGGTTCAAGGCTATCATATTCAGCTTGGAAAAAAAACCAAACCTGCCATAACCAGTATACCCAAGATCCTCAAAAAGTTTCATGTATTCATCTTTACAAATCCTTATAATCTGGTTCAAAGATGAAGGTTTATAAAGAATTGTGGACAGAGCACTCATTACTAATTAACATTCAAAGACTCCCGTTCTAAACCTTCTATGGTAAGCCCAATGCTACTGTTTAGTTACAAAACTGGAGCAAAATATGAGCTGCAGAACTTCTGGGAAGAATCAAAACTTGGTGGGGTGGGGGTGTAAATACCAAACTTGGGCAAATCACCAACCGTCCAATTTAGCGACAGTCTATCCTTTGCTTATGGATAAGCAATGGAAGAATACTTACTCAACCCCATGATGGAAGGGGGGAAAGGAAGGGGGGA